TGCAATCGACCAATAAACTATTATATATATATATATAAGATCAATTCACAATGTATGTGACGAAATAAAAGCAATGCCCGTCCCTTTTTTTTTTCTTTTACACAAAAGAGAACTATCATATAAACAATATATTTTCTTTAAAGCTTTGAAAAAATAATTAAAATTCTTAAATAAAATATATATTGGGAAAAAAGAAACCATAGCAAGAATACTTGAAAACTTAATCCGTTGTCTACATATTTTTTATTTAGGAGTTAGATTAATCATAATAAACAAATCTTAATATACATACAACACTTGACTTTGGTTGCGTTTAAATTCATTGTCATATTATCTTTGTTCTCATGGATTGTAAACGTAAAGCAGTGCAAAAGACTATATATATATATGTGTATATATTTATATCAATGTTCTGATTTTGAATATAAAAAATGAATAGCAAGAAAAAAAAGACGATTATCGTCTACAAAATCGATAAATTTATTCTCTCTTTTTGTGCATAGAATAGTAAAAGAGCATGATTCAATTTCGATTCTTTCTTCTTTTTTTTTCTCATTTCAAAATAAACACCATTTGGTTTCTCTTTTTTTTTTTTACATAAATACGTACCTGTATATGTCAACGAACGATATCGCATCTCCTGTTAGTTATTATTAATTTTTTTCTTTTCTCCTTTTTTTTTTTGTACACATCACGTTCTGAGAACAAAAAAAATCAAATAGTTTAATGCATACTTCATCTAAATTTATAATTGGTAATGCTTATTCATTCTTATATATATATATAGATTTCAATTAAGATATGGATTATACTATTACAGTTAAAAACAATGTTCGAAATCTCAAGTAAAATCGTTATATGTTTATTTGAATAACGAATGAAAAATCTTGCCGATAACAGGTGCCATTTTGTTAGTGACACAAATAGCGACGATTATACTAGAGAATGAATTTGACATTTTCGAAGTGAGAAAGAGAACGGCCTTTAATGGTTGATTTTTATTTTTTTTCAAAATAAAAGAAAGAGACATCAATGATTACTCTGATATATATATACTGAAATGTATTTTGCAACAGTATAAGTATTTAATTGTATATAAATATGATTGATGCTAAAAAAGGAAATAAAAACTATATCGAATCTCAAGGTTTAATTCTATATATTATTTAATATTTTGAAAGGTAACAAGGACGAAAATAAGATCAAGATTTTTTGTAACATATTGGATCCATAAGCGCAATGCATTCGCTTAAGATGTTAGCATGATAGTATTTGATTTCAAGAAATGAAATTATTTCGTCCTGTCTACTTAACATATCTTGGATATATGTTGACTTTCTTTCTATTCATATATATAATATAATAATAAATGATAAAATGATTCAAGTTGAAATGAAGTAGGAGTATAGATTATTGACAAACAATTTATGCAGCAGTATGTCTAAAGTCTTTTTTTTGTGAATAGAACAAAATTTTTCAATCCTTATTTACTCGTTTTTCGATGTATGCTGAAGAAAAAAAAGAGACTGTAACATTTGCACTTGTGATAACAATAACAATTATTATTTTCAGCAAAGTATACTTTAAACAGTTGAAATAAAAATATACAGACATCATCAATATTTAGATGACGAATAAACGTATATTATTCTGAGTAATCAAGATTCAAAAATGATCGAATTTTGAATATTGTAACAATTTTTGGATAACATATGATGTCTTGTTTCATTATCAATATGACTTCTTTTTTCAAATTTTATCTTCACAATATTATCTATACATGCATGCGTCATGATCGTTATCTTTCCTTATTTTAAGGTAGCTGATACTCTGTCATGAGATTGTATTCTTTTCAAACAAAAACATCTCACATATCATGATTCGTCTTTCTTGTGGCATCAAAATTACACGTATAATTTTGCTTGTTTTGAATATTCTTTTTATTCTACTTGGTTTTGCATTATTGGGATTTGGAGTTTATCTTAAAGTAAGCAAAAAATTTGATGTAGCATTATCAGATCATATTAATGCACAAATTATTGGTGGAGAAGCTATTGCAGTTGTTGGAGTAATCTTAATTGTTGCTGGTATTTTTACAATATTTTTATCTTTATTTGGTTGTTTAGGTATGAGAGAAAACTAATGATATTTTTCAAAGAAAATTATTTTCATCTGTTTTTTTTTTAAAGGTGCTCTATTCAAAAATCGGCTATTTCTCTATTTATATGGAGTAATTCTTAGTATTTTAATGATTTTGGAATTGGCTGCATTTATTACAACGATGAGTTCTCGTGTTCGTGTACGTGATAGTTATGAAACTGGTCTTTGGACAGTATTTAGGAATGCATATGACAGTAATCGATCAGATCTCATTAAACAAGTAGAAGATTTAGAAATAGAATTCCAATGTTGTGGTGTCACAGATTACAACGATTATGCAACAGTAAATTTCACAGTTCCGGCATCATGTCATAAAGATCAGTCATTATCTAAACCTATAAATAAAAAAGGTTGTGCTGATGCCATTATTGATTGGATATGGGATGAATTGCCAGTAATCGGTGGTATCATAGGTGCTATAATATTTATTGAAATTTTTGGAGTTATCTCTTCAATTTCATTGGCTGTTGCTATTTCACATTATTCATATGGGGAACTGTATGGAAAATTATAATTTGACCATTATACAAAAGTGTTTTTTGCTTCAGTTGATATTTATAAATATATATTTAATTGTTTTGTATATTTATAATAAAAATTGATGCTGATAGTGGTCTATTTGATTAATAATAAAATTTATTTATCATTGTGTGATAACTTGTAGGTAATACAAAAATGAATTTTCATATTGAGAATACGTACGTGTTACTCATTTTTATAGATTTGTATCTTGAAAGTTAATGATACATGTAGCTCAAGCTAATCTTCAAAACATATAGTTGTATTCTAGTTTTTAACAGAAAGATGAAGAGAAAAGAAAAAAAAAAGTAATTATTGTTTAAGACTTTTCTATATAGGAGATATTGAAAAATTTCAATCGATTTCTAATTTTCGCTTATCTTAGTCACTTGTCTTGATTTATTGCATGATTAAGAATCAAATATAATCAATGAAATATAACGTTAATAAGAATAAACTTGTACGTGATTAGTTTTTGTTCTTTGATGTTTATTTTACAAAGTTTAATAGATACACACTCTAAGATAAACTGATAGTCATATTATTTTTTTCTAGTCGGTTTCAAGAATTTGTATTGAAATTCAAAGACATTGTATGATAGATTATATAAGTTACGTTCGAGCATTACTGGTGATAAGGTATAGATTTATTTTAAATAGATTGGTTGCAAGACATTGTATAATCGTCAGAGACTGCCGTTCATGCACACAGATTTGAATCAAAAGTTTGTGTAGCTCATTCTTTAAATCGAATGGTCTGATTCTTATCCATAATGTAGATATAGACAAGGTCGTAGGTGACAAGCTTTGAATTGAAAATCCTCGGATGTCTATTGCTCATAAAATATGGAAATTAAAAGAGTTATCTAATCAAGAAAAAAATTTTACAACCGCTTGTCCATATTTTCCTATCTTGTACTCATTCAAGTTTTTATAATTCTTTAAAAAAGTAAGCATCCGCATAATGTCACAGTCGTTATATATATGCCCAAATCCTTGCACTATGCATTTTGTGTCTTAATGTTTGTATCAATAATAACTTAGCTGATTAAACAAATAACAATAGGATTAACTTATGCGGTTTCCAACAGAGTTATAAATATTTTAGAAAAGCTTAAAGATGTTTAGACAAATTGTTAGAAGAAATCAAATACTTTATCAATAATTATGGCAATTATCATAAACATTTTTTCAATATTATCAAAACTTTCCGTCAAACTTAAGTAAGTCTTAAACAAAAGAATTAGAATATCTATTAGTGAAACGTGAATACATCAAACTTCAGTCTCGTTTTGTCGATTAAACAAGATCAATTAGAGAAATTTCCCAGTTGGACGGCATGATCTTTTCTTCCATTTTATCAACAATCTTGTTCCTTTGACAGATCATATTTTAATAAATAAGCCTTTGATCGAAAGAGTTAAGCGTCAATAATAGAGAATACTAACAAACACTACTTGCTTACTAAAATTTAACTTAGAGATACAACAATTAGCAATACTATTGTTTATTTTTAAATTATAATAACATTAGACAAGAAGAGATGTGAACATGAGTGCTGATCTTCTCTTAATTCATCTTTACATTCACACACACTAATAGTCTTATTCGTTTGGATCTTCGTCTGTAAAACACTAATGATGATGTGGTGAATCGATTGTTCATATCATTAATTAGATGCATATACAACATATTCGGTTATTGACTTCAAAAGTAAACTGAATTGAAAAATAAATTTGTTCATCATCGTTATATTTCAGTTTATTGTATTACATTACGTTCTTATTTGGATAATAGAAATCCAATTAGGGTCATATTTTGTTTACAAACAAAGTGCATAGAAATGATGAATATAATATTATTATAGGAAGTTTATCAATCATCCTTAGAGAGACATGCAGATTACTAATGCATCGATTACAGATATATTTAATCTGATGCATCATATTTTCAAACCAAGTGACCTTGCGCCTTGATTTAGTTTTGAATAAATAATCTTTGCATGTTGCTATGTTTAAATGAATATAATTTCATTTTGACACGTCGATTTTCTTTCTTACACAGTTGAATTTCTATTCCGACTTTACTTTAAATTTTCTTAAATATACCTTAATATCATAATCAAAGTATCATATGACATGAAAATGTCTTAGTTGTGTAATTACATCTGCAAAAATTATCAAAATGATTACTCATTTTGCATTTTTTTTTATCTTGCTTATATCATCACAGTCAACAATACTGTTATCTCTTGGTATATGAAGACTCATAAGTCTCGCATTTTTTGATTCTTTCTTTTACAAAAACAATAAATTATCAACCATGGTCCAACTTTCATGTGGGGTTCAATGTACACGTGCAGCATTATTTGCATTAAATATCATATTTCTTCTTGTTGGTTTTTCTGTAATGGGTTTAGGTATCTATGTTAAAGTCAATGGAAATTTTATTGCTATCTCTGAAATTTATGGTGTATCAGAAGCACTTGGACGAGAAGCGATGCAATGGATTGGAGTAGGCATGATCACTGTTGGTATATTGACTGCATGTTTAGCTGCATTTGGTTGTTTAGGTATGTTAAATAAAAAAATTGGTGACTATAAATATCTATCCTATATTTATTTAGGTGCTGTTTTAAAAAATCGAGGTTTGCTGTATGCATATTCAGTTATTTTGTTACTTATTATATTCTTTGAATTTGCTGCTGTAATTGTAACATTAGTATTTCGTAATGATTTATGGAAAACATATGATTCTGGTTTTATGGAAGTATTTCATCATGCTTATAGTCAAAATCAAACAGAAACTATTAAAATTATTGAAAATTTAGAACGCAAGTTTAAATGTTGTGGTGTTGATGGTGCTTCCGATTATGCAAGATATGGCTATAAAATTCCTTCATCATGTTATATGGATGAATCAACCAAACGAATTCTCTATAGTCAAGGTTGTGCTGAAGCTGTTGCTATTTGGGTATGGAATAAATTACCAATTATAGCTGGAGTGTTAGGAGCCATTTTATTTATTGAATTATTTGGTGTCATTTCATCAATTGTACTTGGTGTAGCCATATCTCATTCATCCGATCCCACATACTATGTTAAATTTGACAACTAAATTTTTATCTTTTTTTTTTTTTTATTGAATAAATAACGATAAAAAAAACGAATTTATTTGTTGATACTAAGAAATATGAAGTAGATGTTGACATAAATGAAATAACTGCGAACTAAAATCAGTAATACCTTCATAACCAGGAAAATAATTAACATCAATAACAGCATAATCACCCGTATTTCTGTCTATAATAATATCAATACCAACGAGATTTAATTCAAATAAATTTTGTACCGTTTGAGCAATTTTATTAACTAATTTATGGTCAAAAGTGACTATTACTGATTGGTCACTCGATAAAAGTATATGATCAGCTTGAGAACTTGAAACTTCACTAGAATGAAATGATATTGTGTCCCGAGATGAATATGTATCAAGATTACGTATAGAATTTCTTTGTACTATTTGATAATTACCTTGACCAACTAGATGAGACATTTTAAAAAAAATCAACAAAGTCAGATATTTTTTTGTTTATTTATTTTTCAAGAAAACTTACTAGCAAATACTTTAAACAGAATACCATCATGATCAATAAATTTTTGTAAAACACAAGGTTTTTCAATATCATTTAAATGTTGATTATCAAAAATAATTTTCATATCATGTGATTTATCACCATGAGCTTGAATAGGTTTACACATAATTGGAAATGATATTTGATTATTAATTAACATTTTTTCAATCATTAATTTATTATCATCATTTGTAACACATATAAATGGTGGGACGACATAAAGTTTTTTATTGGCATTTAATAATGAATATTGTTCATAACGATTTAATAATCTCGATATTGATTCAAACTCATCAAGAATTATTGTTGAGGATTTTGGTAATAAATGAATTTTTTCCATAAGTGTACGTGATGATGCATCATCTTCTAATTTATGAATAATTAATTGAGGAATACGAATATTTGGTAATTCGAAATAATCACATGTTAGTTCAATTGTATCAATATGAAAATGTTTACATCGAAGTAAAAATTGATCAAAACGAAGTTTAGAAAATTTCTTTCGTGAAATATAGTAGCCGATTAATGGATGCTGTCGTTGTGAATGTAATAATGATGGAGACATGGTACTGCTTTTGCTGCCTTCCATGCCGAACGAAGAAAAAAAAATAAGAGGAATACACACAAGAAAAAGAGAAAAAAACGCATGCGTTGCGTACGCTATAGGAAAAATCTCTTTATTACGAACATCGTCGCCGTTCGAGACCACGAGGAAAGAAGAGAAGGAAGAAAAATGTATAGCTATCTAGGCAAAAGAATAAATGAAATATTTCATATAAAAAAAAATACCGTGAGAACCAATGTCATGATATGATCAATGACACACTGTCTATCAAGTTAAAAATGCTAGAATAACAAAAAAGAAACCCATATATTAGTCACGTAGTCATCGCTTGAGAGTAATAGTTATAACGACATTTTATATCTTCAATTGATAAAAAAAACCATTATTACTCGCATGAAAATATAATTTTTCTCTTATTTTTTTTTTGGTCACGAGAAACTATTCGATAGACAACGAAGAGAACAACCTATTGATCATTCACTAATTATAATCTGATAGTCATTTATATTAGGTCAGATTAATATGGATGAGTATTTTCATTCTATCATATGAAACTCGTTTATTCGCATAGAACATTTTCCAGATGTCCCAAAAATATTTTCTTGCTCGTACTTAAATAGTTTTTTTTTTTCTGATTGCATTTATTCATAATAAAAAAAAAAGGAAACTGTCTATCTCCGTAAAATATATTGCTAAACTCATTCCTTCATTATTCGTTTAGATACAAAAATTTTGCCAAAATCTCGTATGGAATATATATTGCTAAGTAGACAATCATAAACTAAGTTAATTGAACAGTACAAACGCAATAGTTAATTTTGTAAATGACATGTTACCAACCATCAAATGTCATTTTCAACTAAATTTGTTAATTATAATTCAGTCTGTTTTTTTCATTCGTGTAGACTATTTTATACAAATAAATGTATCGATGTGCTATATTTATGAAAAATTATTAATATTGACATTATTTATAACCGGTATTCTAATATTAATTACGGCAGAGTTTTCATTATCGATTAAATTGCGACTATATTTTAACTCTTTGCTGCAATAGAAGATTTCTTTCAGTTAATTAATTTCTTGTAAAACTGAAAGTTTTATTAGCATATTTTTGTCAAAATATGCCTAGCTATTCAGAGGTTTTACCTGAAAATTTTTAAAGATTATGATTAACATTATTTCTGGCCTTTTACAAATTCTAAAAATCTCTTTCCAGTCCTCAAAATTGTTTTACTTTTTTGGAAAACTCTTTTAATTGAAAAATGCGATACGACGGAAGATCCTTCCCTTCACTGAAATCTTTATTAATTGATTTAAAATCTTTTGTCTCTTGTTATATAATTCATATAACATGAGAAACTGATGAATTATAATGAATATTTAAATGGGTGATTAAGAGCAAAGAATAAGTCAAACAATAGTAAATTCTTCATCGAAACTCATACATTTGATTGAGTTTGAATCATGATTCATGCCATTTTTGACATCAAAGAATATGTTAACAAATCGAGTTAGTTTTTCTCTAGTAGTGTTTTTTTCCTATAAATTAGAGAGGCAAATGTTTTCTGTTTTATTTTTCATATCTCATGTTGACGTATTCTGCCGAAATTCAATGAGATAAAGTAAAAATAAAGAGAAGCTATTTGCGTTCATAGATTTTCAATGATTGAATTTCTATTGCAGAAATGAAAACTAACAGAATTTTATGTGTTTGTTGTTTTCTTATATTAGAATTTATTTATGACATGACAAAAACAAAATAAAAAAACTAGAATAAACATGAGCGAAAGCATAGAAGTCAACGTTGTATTTATTTACGAAAAGAAAATTATTTGACAGCATGTCACTTACTATTTGAGTGGCAATTTACAGTTGATATGTATTTTCTATTGACTACAATTTTCTATTAAATTACGGGATCTAATTATTGGATAAATATTAGAATAGTTCTTCATATTATCAAAAAGATATTCGAAGTTTACTTCTAACAAATAATTGAAGATCACGATCAGTCCAAAAAAAACAACCTTATTAAATATCTCATATGATAGACATATATGTAAATAATAGTAAATCTAAGAACTATATACCATCTATCAACACGTCAATAAATCATATTTATTAAAAGCTTGAAAAAAACAAATTATTTAAATACTACTCAAAGTGCAATAAATATGATTCATCGACTATTTCTCATATTCATTAAAACATTCTGGAAGAAATATGTGAAAGGACGGAAGTGACACTTAAAATAAATGCAGATGTGCGATAAAAAAAAAGTGCTATAGAAACCAACAATCACTCATGATGACAAAAAAATCAAGACGATAATGATCGCAAACTTTTTGAGATCATCATTTATGATTGATTCACATCGAGATCTGTTTCTTCAAGGCTTACTTACAATACTGGACAAAATTTTGTGGACTGTTTTAAAAATTAAGTTATTTTTTCCAGAGGTGTTCTAAAAATAATTCAACACATGTTAACGAAAAGAGAAGAACACGGGTGACATTTTTCTATAACTGAAATTTCTTAAATGTGAAATATCTATATAGTAATGCATTTATTTGACAACAAACAACAGATAATATTCATCTCAGCTCTTTGTTATTTTTCTTTTCAAATATCACATTTGAAACAATATTAGACACTGCACATCTTTCAGAGAAGGGACTCGCAAAAGTCGAAAAAACATTTCGTGAACTTTAAATTATCTACCATCTTATGCAATATCTGACACTGTTTTGAATGTGATATTTGGAAAGAAAAATGAATCATTATAAAAAAAAATGATAAAGAGTTTAAACAAATATTATCTGTTGTTTGTTGTAAAATAGACGCATTACATTATAGACATCTCGCTTTAAGATGTTGTAGCTATGAAACTGTCAAATGTGTTCTTTTCTTTTCATTTACATGGGATCGGCTCTTTTTTTTTAGAATAATCCTGGAAAAAAACTCTATTTAAAAAATCGTCCAATAAACTTTCTTCAGTAAAAATTGACTACTCTGGATTGTTATATGTTCAACTATACTGTAACTTAACATCTACGAATGAAAATTTCAAACAGAGAACTAAATGATAACAATCTTTATTTAATATTTCTATTAAAGCTCCTTTTTTTTTTTTATATTAAACTATAATTTATATTAAAATACAAATATTTCAAATATTAATATAGAACTTTCAAACCATACATGTTTCATTGTAAGTATAATGTCAATAACGTTGCCTATTTGAGGTTCATGTTGAATTTTAATCAAATTAATAAACCAATAGGACTTGTTTCTATCATAGATAACTTCAAAAACAAATTAAAATAAAGAGAATGCATATTTTTCTATTTTCAAAATAAGTCCTTTTAATTTACTATTATAGAAACATTCTCTGTGGGTGCAGTATAGCCACCGAATAGGTAATTGATGCAAACCACCCTTCAGAGATAGACGGATCTATTCCTAGTTCTTATTGAGTTTAAATGCTTTGCTTGCCTGTTTCTTTTCTAATTCGATGAACATATTTCGAGGAGCTGGTGAAAAACGTCGAATACATGTAAAAATGTCAGTAACGAAATTCGATTGTTTTTCTTTTATTGATTGTGGCTGTGAATGTGGGTTAGGCTATGAAGAGAAGGTGCCTACGCTACTTCACACTCAATTGTCCAAACTACATCCGAATATATGGAACTTCATACAATTGAGTTAAAGAGAAAATGTTCCTTTCGAACAGATTTCAATTCAACTTAATGCTAGTACATCTTTGTCGAAACAATCGACACCAACAAAAGCTTTTCAAATGCGATTTGATACTCTGCATGACAGATTTCTCAGCAAAGCATATCAACACGAAGGAAATCCTGTCTGGTTTATCATTGTTAATTGTTAAGAAAAAAAAATCCTATTTTATGGCCT